TCGATTTTGGGGGATTTCAAGATATGTTTTGTTTCGAGGTAGGTTGGGATCTCTATGTTCAATTCATGTGGGAATTTATCTAATTAGATGAGAATTTAATGCTTAGGGATTTCTTGGAGGTCAAATAAGGGTTTGAGATGAAATTAAGACCTAAACTCTAGAATTGGTTGATGAAATTTGGGGCTTTTTCTTAGATTGTGGTGGAGAGAAGTCCTTTGTTGTTGCTTGTTGATGCTATGAGGAGAATTTGTCTGAAAAGTCTTTGGTATGTGAATAATGGAAGCTTGTTGTTTCTTTTCAGTTTTATCCAAAAAGAGCAGGTACACCTAGAAAGACAGAGATTGTGTTCATGGCTCCTACTGGTGAAGAGATCAGCTCACGCAAGCAGTTGGAGCAGTACCTGAAAGCTCATCCTGGGAATCCTCTCATCTCTGAGTTCGAGTGGACGACTGGGGAAACTCCGAGGCGATCGACGAGGATCAGCCAAAAGGTGAAGGCAACAACTCCAACTCCCGACAAAGAACCACTCATGAAGAAGAGACGGTCTTCTCTCACAAAGAAGGATAACAAAGAGGCTGCTGAGAAAAACGAAGAGGCTGCGCAACAAGCTGAGGCTGCTGTTAAGGAGAACAAGGACGGACCGACAGAAAACGCGGAGGCGGAGAAGGAGGGTGTGACCGAAATTGCAGAGGCAGAGAAGGAGAAGAAAGAGGGTGAAAAGACCGAGGCTGAGAAAGATGGTCAAGCAGAAATGGCAGATGCTGAGAAGGAGAACAAGGAGGGTGAAAAGACTGAGGCTGAGAAGGAGGGTCAAACAGAAATTGCAGAGGCTGAGAACAAGGAGGGCGAAAAGACTGAAGCGGAGAACAAAGTGGGAGAAGTTGTGATGGACAAGAAAGAGCCCATGGAAGTGGATACCTCTGAAGTGGAGAAGAAGACTGAGAGTGAAGGAGGAGCTGAAGAACCTCCCAAAGTTGAAGGCATCAAGGACACTGAAATGAAAGAGCCACAGGAAGTAGCTGCTGAGGGTGATGGAGAGAATAAGCCTGCAGAGGAAAAGACCGAGAACGATGGCGTTGCAGCAGAAGCTAACGGAGATCAGAATGTGACTCCTGCTGAGCCTAATCTTGGTGCAGATGCGGAGGCTAATAATGGAAAAGGAACACAA